GGCAACTTGGCCCATCACCAAGGGCCCATCACCAAGAGGCCACCAACATCAGCCCCTGGCTGAGCAACAGTGGCCACAAGGAGACTCTTGGTCCCGGCCACACTCCCTGGAAGGCTCCTGAACCAGCACCCTTCCCTCTTAGTGTCCTGGTGGGTTTGGAGACCCTTATGGTGGGGTTGGAAGGTGGAGCAACCCACTCCTCAGTGAGGTAGGACTGGCATTGTCCTGCTGTGGCCCCTCCTGTGTAGTTTCCTGGGACTGCACTGCCCACTGTGGGAACAGCCCTGAGCTCCCTCTCTTTCCTGAACCCTGTCTCCCTCAGGGCTGGAGCTGCTCCCTGCCCAGGTGCAGCTGAGTGCTTCCAGGGCAGTGTCACCATGTCCTGGTCAAAATAGGTCTGGCCCCGGGGGTTCCCTTTGGGAGAATGCCTATCTCAGAGCACCCTGGTTTCACCTCAGGCCCAGGCAGCTCCCCCTCCAGCCCTATGAGCTTGGTAAGTTATTGATTAGTCTGGCTTCTGTCAGCCAAGAGCTTCAGTCCCAGGAAGTGAATCTTTAAGAATTAATTAGCAAAAATTCTCTGAGAAAAACCAAGTGCATAAGTGTGATGCTGCCTGTCACTCCCCATGATTAGCCTTCTCTTCTTTATGGTGCTGTTTCGGGGTGCCCAAAGCAGTGCTCCTGCTTTGCAGCCTCCCTGGCCTCGTTGTGTGCATGGTGGCCTTCCAGGGCCTCCTGCTTCCCACTCTACTGCATGTCACTAACCCTGGTGAGCCTCCAGCCTCAGCTTACCCAGCCATGGTGGCATGGACTGAAGGGAGGGACACAGAATGTCACGCAAATGGCTCTGTGCTCAGCTCCCCACCTTGAAGCTGGCTGTGGGCTCTTCTCACCTATCCACAGTGCCTACACATCTCTTGCCAGAGCCCTGGCTACTCCCCACTGTGGAGCTGCCTCTCCAGCTTTGGCTCTGGTCTCTCTTAGGACCTATGAGTGTGGCTGTCCCTCTTCCAGGACCCCAGGGCCAGGGCTGGGTGGCTCAGGTGGGTTTGCATAGCAGGCAGTCCACTGATTCCTCTTTCCAGGGGTGCAGGGTCTATGGGAACCATGAGGGCAACCCCACGCCACAAGCCCCAAAGCCCTCTCTGCCTGGCCCTCTTTCAGACTGCACAGCTCAGCCTGGTAGGTGCAGATTTTGGCCCAAGTTTGTCCTGGAGGAGAAGGACAGGGGACAGAGAGCTCTGGGAGGGGCAGAGGGAGTTCTGCTTATGGAAGGTTGAGCTCTGATGAGGCAGGAAGAAGTGACCCAGGAAGAGCTCCCAGATTTTGACAGGCATCTGTGGTCTCTGCAGGTTGTGGTGGTATCAGCAGGACCCACAGGCTGGGCAGGGAACTACAGTGCTGCCATGGAAGGTGCACCTTCTAAGAAAGGGCTGAAGCAGCAACCTGCAGCAGGAGGCAGGCTCCAAGGCTACTGCCCCATTTTTCTGGACTGTGCACCCTCTCAGGAGCTCCGGGAAGGAGGGGGCTGTCAGTGTCCAGACCCCAAACCAGCCAAGTTAGAAATGAGTGCCATGTCTGCTTTGACCCCTATGTCAGTTGGTCAAGGGAGACCATGGGTACATGGCGGGGGAGGAGCACTTTTTGGAGAGTCTTTCTTATACATCATGCCTCAAGTCCCCATTTTCCCAAGAGAGAAGTGAGTTGGGGTCCAGCAGTGTGAAGTAGAGCCCAGGGAGCCACAGGTCCAAGTTCTCTGTGAGCCTCATGGTTGCTGTGTGGTGCCAGCTGTGTGTCATAAGACCCCGAGCACTGCGGACCTCAGCCTCTTGGGAAGACGGAAGCTTCACTGTGGTCCTGGGGTCCCACATACAAGGCTACAGCTGGATTCCTTCCCTATGGCTGACCTTGGCTCCTGAGCTCCATATCTCCCAGCATGAGACCCCCAATCTTAGCACTTCAAGGTGCTTCTGCTTTAATGCTCAATAGCTTTGGGGCAACTACTCAGCCAGTCCAGGCCTCTTCCTCCCTTGGATCTCCTGGCAGCAGAATACAAGCTCCTAGTAGTCTCATGTGTCACCTGGCCCAGGGGAGAAACAGCTCCCCTTGGGTTGTTTGTGTTCTTGTGCTTCAGAGAGGCCTGAAGGCCAGAAAATAATGCAGGGAGAGGTGTGGTGAGGTGGAGGGTGAACTGGGCCACAGACACTAGGGGGAGGTAGCTTTGGTGCTAAGTCATGAAGGACGATCTCTCCACAGGGACAAGGGGCAGGCACTGAAGTAGAACGCAGCGTATGGAGAGGGGCATAACCGTGTGTCTCCCACATGGTCATCAGGCATGCTCAAGGCTGTACATAGAGCACCTCGACACGAGCCAGCATTCTCCATGCCCATTTCCACCTCACCAACCTGATGTCCCACCACACTGCAGCAGAACTGTCACCCAGGACATCAGGATCCTTCAGCTCACAGAGGGCTCTACTTAGCCCCAATAAAATTAAGATAAACAAGGCTATTCTTCACCAAGGCAATGGAAAAGTCCAGGGAGAGGACTTCAGGCACAGGAGGACTCAAAGCTGTCACTAGGACTGGGTCTCAGCTTCACTTCACTAGGGACTTTGGTCTCTGTGAGTTTTTTCCACCTATGGTGGCTTCAGGCCTCCCTTGGCTCCAACGTACTAATTCCACAACACACCCCTGCCCTTCATTATTTTTCCCAGGTTCAGTGAACCTTACTAGGCCTGACCAATCACCATTGATAGGAAGAGGAAATATGCTAATTGATCAGTGGGTCCCAGACCTGAATTGAGTCATGTGCCCAACTCCTCAACCAATCACTGTTGACAGGAAGAAGAAATATGCTAATTGATCACTGTGGGTCCCAAGTCCATCCTGGAGCCAGCTCCCTGGGCTTCCCTCAGAGGTGGTCCCCTGGAGAAAAGTCAAGGTTACTAGCAGACAAAGGGTTGGGTAGGCCATTCCACAAATACAATGCTGATACCCCACCCCATTCAGACTCCCTCCAGCTCACAGAGACTGAGGTTTGCAGGAAGGGGTGAAGCCCCTGGGACACACTGGTTTTTTCTTGTTTCTTTTGTCTCCTTGTGATCTCCTTCTTGGGGGCCCTGGGTCTTGGCTGTCTGGGTTGTCCTGGGCATCAGGGCTCCTGCAGCATCCTGTAAAGTCCTGTTTCTATTGGGGACTCTGGGAGGGGAGGATGGATGCTGGATCAGGCAGCTGAAACTCTTTCCCCAGCTGTGAATGCCAGAATTCTTGAGGTGTCTGTGGGAGCCACCCTGCAATAATACAGTTCCGGCAAGGACTCGGCCTGGCATGGATGCACACTTAGGGCAGCCTCTCCCTATTTTTAGGCCAGATACTTATAGAATGACATCTGAGTGCACACACAGCCTGATTCTGCCCAAATAAGGGCGGCAGAGGTGTTGGCCCCTCGCGAGGGTGGGCCCAACAGGTGGACAGCACAGAGGCCCGCATGCCAAGAGCGGCTTGGGGAGGGTCAGGTTCCAGCAAGATGGGCAGGGCTGTCTGCTTAGCTCCCACGGAAGCAGCCTGCCTCAGCTCTCCTGCAGCCCTATTACCAGCCCATCATCTTCCCTGCTTCCACGATTTTCCAGGGCTTTTGGCTCAGCAGGCTAAGGCAGGCAGGGCTGCAGAGATCGGACCAGGAGCACCACTTTGGCAGGAGGGGCAGAGCATCAGGTCCATGGGGACATCTGAGGAAAGCACAGACTCCAGAATGGAGAGTTCATGGAGCACCTTGGAGTACGCTGGCCAGGGAGAGTTCTCTGGGAGGCTTTCCAAGTTTGAGCCCAGCCTGGGGAACTTAGAGACTTAGTAAGAATCTGTCTCAAAATGAATATAAAAAGGGCTGGGGATGTAACTCAATGTGAAGGCCCTGGGTTCCATTCTTAGAACTGCAAAACAAAGCAAAATAACTCCCAACCCCCCACCCCCAATACTCTCCGAATTAAGGGCCTCCGGAGCCTCACATGGAGGCTGTGGGAAGTCCAGAGGGCTCCGGAGGAGGTAGCAGCAGGGGAGGGGTTCGAGGCTGATTGATTCTCAGGGAACCCCTTTTCCTTGCATTCCCCCCTGGGGTCAAAGAGCCCACTGCCAGCTCCTTGTTGATTGCAGCCCAATCCCAGAAAGCAGGCCTTGAGCCCCGAAGCTCCGACCTTTTGCAGGCTCCTCCTGGAACGCTGGAGTCCTCTCTGTGCTGGCCAAGTAGACTGCCAGGGCCCCAGTGCCTGCTGGGCTGCAGAGCAGAGTCCAAGGCCTGGGCCCTGGCGGGGCTGCAGGCGCAGGCTGGGCTCCAGCGCCTGTTGTAGGAGGGCCCCGTCCCTGCAGAGGAAAAGCCTGCCGCCGAGTGGCTGCAGGCTGGCTAGCAGGAGCTAGCCACCTTGGGCCACCGCCAGGCTAGGCCACAGTAAAGAGCGGAGTCCCTAATTATAGACCCCAGGGTCAAGAGCCTGAAGCTTAAGCTGCCAGGAACGCCAGAAGCCTCAGGGCTGGAGGGGGCACAGCTGAACCTGGAGGGTGGTGTCAAAAAGTAGGGCCCCTGGGAGGGGAGGAAGGAGCCAGGGCTCAGGGCAAAGTGTCCTTGGGTGGGGCTGGTAAGGAGCTGCTCCTGAAAACAGGGCATGGCCACTGGGCGGGGAGGGGCCGGCAGCACCGAGAGATGGTTTGTTTCTGTCTTTGTTTTTGCCTGCGTGATGCTCAGTCACCTACCTACCTACTTCCCCTCCTCCCTCCCCCGCCTCCTCCTTCTCCCTCCCATCCATCCTTCCTTCCTTCCTGCACTGGACATCAGGCACTATCGCCTGCCTGACACTGTGCTGTGCAGCCCAGTGGGGAGACCAGCAAGGAGATGGATTGAGGGAGTTAGCAGGCACAGTAGTGCTGTGCATTTGTTAAAGAATGTGGGCGTGGTTGGCTAGGTCTTGGGGCCTGGCCAGCTAGGACCCATGGGCGTGGTCAACTAGGATGGGGGTGTGGTCAGTTAGGTGTGTGATCCTGGTCAGCCAGGCTCTAAGGAATAGTCCTTTAGATCTGCTAAGTCCATTGACTCTGGAGTCCCCTGGAAGAGTGGCTAACCCAGCTGTGACTCCCCAGCCAGGGGAGAACTGCCTAGAACCAGGACCAGGTAAGATGAGGACAGGCAAAGGGAGTGGCCCAGAGGCAGGGAGTGCAGGCTCAGGGTGGGGTTGGGGATGGGGGTGGAGGTCCTCAGAGAGGGACAGACAAGTCCTGGGGGGCAGATGGCAGCGTGGGCCTGGACACTAAAGGGTGGGATAGGGCTCTGAGGTCCCAGCAAGGGCCCTGGACTCTGTGGCCATAGGGTCTGTGCCCTGGCAATCCCAGTAGCTCTTTTCCAGGCAGCCGTTAGTACCTAGTGGCTGTGTTCTTTCTTTGCAGATGTCAGAGTTCAAGTGCTGGCCACAGACAAGCCTGCAGGAGATGAGATGGGTAGGTGGACACAGCCTGCTCTGGTTCCAAGGAGTAGGAAGCTAGAACGTGTTCTGGCCCGGCCTCCACAGCTGGGGTGTGAGATGCTAGGCCCAGGAGTGCAACTGTGGATTCACCCAGGGTTATGTAGCCTTGCAGGGAGGATGCTGAGCCTGTATACCTTTCCTCTCTGATTTCAAATATGCCCTCATTGGGACCGTGCTGGGCCTTGACATCTCCGAAGGCTTCCTGGCACTTAAGATCTGCCTGATCTGGAAGCACCTGTCTGATCAGGACTCTGTGGACCAGAGGAACACAGCCCGGAGTGTCCCTGGTGAGGGGCCTGGCATTCTGCCCCACTCCGTGCTGCTGAGATGGAGTGTGCCAGTCAGGTTTCTGACACTGTGACAAAACATCCCAGCAGTAACTTACAGAGAGGAAGGGTATATTTGGGTTCACAGTGGTGGAGGTTTCAGTCCACAATCGCTGGACCCTGTTGCTTCTGGGCCTGTGGTGGCCTTTGGGGGACAGGCAAGATCTCAACTATAGCAGTGTCTGTCAAAGCCACCAACCTGAGGCACTGAGGCAGCTCCAAAGCAGGGGACAGGAAGGAGTGAAAGCCACAAAGCCCAGCAGATCTGAGCAGATGTGAGCAGGACAGAGGCACAGTGGCCTCTCTGCCTCTGTCCCATTTCCTTGTCTCTCTGTGTTTTCCTCTATCTCTGTTTCTTTCTTTCTGTCTTCTTTTTCTCTCTGTCTCTACTCAGCCCCTCTTCCTGAGAACATGGTTTCTGGAGAACGGTGGGAAGCAGATCAGAAATTGGCTTTGGACAGAAAAGTCTCTTCTCTTGTTTGAGTGATGGGATCAGATGGTGCTGGTCCAGAAGCCCAAGGTGGCCCTAGGCACGGGTGGTCAGTGATGCTGCTGGTGCAGTGATGCAGGTGGCAAGGAAGGGTCCCTCACCAAGCAGACAGAGTGTGGCTGTCAAAGGGGATGTTGGATGATTGCTAGGTGAATTTCTGCAGCTACATTGTCCTGGGCCCTCTCTCCGTGTCACCTACAGAGCAGCCTCTATGGGGTCACACTCACCACGCAGTGATGACGAAGCTTCCTGAGGATGGTGCAAGGAGCTCATATTCTGGAAAATTCATCTGGGGCAGCACTGGGGACATGAGAGACACTGTGGGCCACTAGAGCTGGCTTGGCCTTAATTTGGTCCCCTACCGACAGAGGTAAAGAGAGAACAGCTTCTTGTAACACAGCAGCCTGGCAGCTGAAGCTCCCAGCAGCAGGAAATGAGAGGGGTGCAGAAGAGTCTAGGGACTGCTCGTCCCACCTCTGTGCCCAGCTAAAGGGGCCCAGGGACCTGGACAGAGAAGCCCCAACAGGGCCAGCAGTGGGGACCAGGACACTGCCCCAGACGGGCCCAGGATTCTCTCTGGGGCACTGAGTGCCGCTCCTCTTAACTCACCGCTTCCTCTCCTTTTTTTTTTTTTTTGTTACCGGGGATCGAACTCAGGACCTTGTGCTTTTGAGGCAGGCCAGGTGCCACTGAGCTACATCCCCGCCCCCCTTCCTTTCTTGACCCCTTCAAGCAGAGGAAGAAGAGGAGCTTGTTGTCGAGGTAAATTGGCCACTGCTGTGTGTGGGGGACACATCGTGTTCCCTCCTAGCCAAGCGTCCCGCTTCTGTGCTGTCATCCAGCCTCTCTTGGGGACTAGAATGCCCCTCCATGCTCAGTCCTGCCTGCCTCGGGGCTTTGCTCTTCCTGTTTCCAAACCCTGGAGTGCTCTGCCCAGACAGCTGCAGCCTTTGCCCTGTTTCCTTCTCCTCTGCCAAGGCGGTCAGGTGACCTGTTGTCAACAGCACCATAGCCTCCCCCATCCAGGCTGCCAGCTGCCGGTGGAGGGCTCCAAGTGTTAGGGTGCCCAGGCCTGGCAGTGGGAAGCAGGATGTGTGGGGTCAGTGGGCCTCTCTGTGCACATGGAATGGAGAAGTAAAGCTCACAAAGCCAGGCCTGGGCACAATCGGAAACACGAGAGGCACTGTGGCCAGAGGAGCAGGGGACAGGAGGGAGGGTGGAGAGGGTATTGGGGAACAGAGGGACTCATGCTTACGAAGGAGGCTGAGCTCTGCTGAAACTTCTCTGCTGCTGTGAACTGAACTGGGTGGAGGACACATTCTTCATGACAGTAGCAGGAGGAGCTCTGGGGGTGCTGGGGAGCTATACTGCAGACTCCATGAGACCCGCTACTGGGGCCCGAAGGGGACTGAGAAGAGGAAAGATGCAGACACTGGGTTATTTTGAGGCTTGGGGCTGGAAGAGGCAATGTCGTATCCCTGTTCCATAGCCACAGTGTTTCTTCAGCTGCAAACACTTCAGCAGCAAAGCGCCATGGAAAGGACAAGAAGAGGTGCAGGAGGAAGGCAGGCAGTGGGCAGGGGAAGGAAGAGTGGGGATTGCTGGGGGGTGGGGACAGAGGCACAGCTTACATGATGCAAACTACACTGGGTAGAGCAGGCTGAGTCAGGAAGATGTTAGACCCCATGGAGCCACCAAGGGCTGGCACATTGGGTTCCCTCCTGGAGTAATACTGTATGTGCTTTATGTCACCTAGGACTTGGATCGGAAGCATCCTGTTTTTTCATTTTCAAGCTAAACCTCATTTTCTCCAAGAAATGGGTTACAAGAGTAGCCACTTGCCAGCACTGTGGTAGGCTGAGGAAGGAGAATCCCAAATGTGAGGCTGGGTTGGTCAACTTAGTGACTTAGCAAGAACATGTCTCAAAGGGTAGGGTGGGGAGAGGTAAAGATCCAGCTCAGTGCAAAGGCCCTGCGTTCATTTCCACGCACTGAAAAAAAAAAACCTGAGAAGGGCGTGGCCATCTTGCAGTGGCAGTGGCTGGCTGGTGGCTCCACTGTGTGGCAGGCAGGGACTGCTGGCCATCAGCCAGAGGCCTTGTGAGCACAGCTGGGAGACCAGATGCCAACAGGACACAGGGAAGCTGTGGGTATTGACCCCTTTAAGGCTGAGAAAAGCGGGTCCTAAGGAAAAAATAATGTTTTCCATTTATGGAGCCCTTCTCTTTGATGGTGGTTAAGCTAATCATCAGCTAATTTAGTTCACTTGATGACACGAAAGTCCCAGCACCTCTCATAGTCATCAGGCTGTCCATTTGCTTCCAGCAGTGCTCTGGGGTCTCAGAGTGGACCTGGGACAGGACCATGGTGCCCCACGGCAGGGGCCTTGTCCCAGAGGGACTGCACCCAGCACCCCTAATGGTTTATCCCATGGTTGCTTCTGGAGCCACATTCCTAGCTGCTCACCCTTAGAGTGATAGTGCCTGTCTGACCCCCAGGATGGTCACCAGTTCTGGGCAGCCTCCTATCTGCTCTCTTGGCCTCCTTCTATTTGAAAAATCTTCAAATGCACTGAAAAGCTGAAAGAATCATGCAAAAAATTTACCCCTGCCCTCGATCCACTACATCTTCCTCCTTTGCTTTATCTCTGAGAACATAACATTTTGGGGGCTGATCCACTTGAAATTCAGTGTAGATATCATGACATTTCACCCCTAAGTATCTTGCCCTTGTATTTCCCACATAATCACAATGCGAGGGGCACTGCTGCAAAGGGAGGTTAGTGCTGAATCAGTAATCCATGGCGCACAGCCTGTGTTCTGGATTCTCTGATGATTTCAGAACTCATCTTTTATTGCTTTGTTTGTCCAGTCCATGAAGAATCTTAGTATTTGATGCCTAGTCGCTCTGCTTTTCTCCCCATGGTACCGTGGCCTCTGAATATCCAAGCCAGTAGCCTTATCAAATGTCTCATTTTCCAGATTTGTCTGTCTCCTCTTGATAGAATCAGACTGAGATGTTTTCGTCAAGGCTGCCATGGAGGTGGCATGGCGCATCCTGTGTTGTGGTGCAGCAGCACACAGCACCAAGCAGCCTCACTGCTGGGGACACTTAGTTTGATGGCACAGCTGAGGAAGTGACCACTGCTCTTTGTGTTGTAGAGATTAGCAAACACTCGGAGAGCTAATACCTGAGACAGTGTGACTATCTGGTCCCGACAGTTCCCTGAGCACCGACCACCTCTACTGTGACCCCCTTTGTGAATCTATTTGCCACCTTTGGCCATAACAAGACATGGCGTTTCCAATTCTCACATTCCCTCTACATGTAAGAGCTGACATTCTGCTGGGGAAAAACAAGCTTTTTACCTTCCTTCCTTCTCTTCTTCTCCTGCTTGCTGTGTATTATTACTGTGCATTTGAACTGTTAGCATCATGGCTCCTTTTAATGCTCAAATTATCCCAAATGTAGCCAGTGCAAGTCCTGTCCTTGTGGTCTCTGTGCTCTTGCGAGAGGACCCTCCGGTCTTGAAGCAGCGCCTCCTACACTTTGATGCGATGCAGCTTCTCAGCTC